CAGCAGTGTCATCAGTGAGACTCCAACCGTTACAAGTCCAGCAACAAAGACTGTAGCTGCAAATGATGACATATAAATTCCTGTCTCCATGGTATAATGGCTTTCACTTTCTGCACAGATGTAAAAGTATAGGTCAATAGTTTAATTTGTCTAGAGGCGATAGTCTGTCCGCATAATCTACCCAAGTCAGTCTAGGTTTATGGTTATTAAGACAAAAGGAATGAAAGAATCCTACAGGTGCAAAAGGTTATTGTCCATTGAGCTGAACCAAATACCGTGACACATTAACTTCAGAAACACAATGTCCCTCTTGACATTATGCATCTCCTTGTTCATCCCTTTTTCATGCTTTAGAGCATGTTGCAGGAACTTCATCCAGTGTAGATGTCAGAACTCTAGTTAGATTTCTGTTTAACTACAATTATTATTTGGCCATGTTTAACAGTAACAGTTTACTAACATAAAAGTAAAAGAAAAAAAAAGGAATTACGATGTTGCTTCATGCTGCAATACCATGACTTAACTTTAGACACCATCTTTAATTTTCCAATCATAAACTACAATAAGAACTTCAACAAGACAGAATAAGATGTTGAAAGTGGAAATGCAAACCTGAGGCACTTCTCCTCAGAAGACTCTGAGCAGAATATTCCCGCTCCATCTGATGGCCATAAGCCGACATTGTAGGATCAGCACGATCAGCTAAATCTCACGCGATCAGTCGTTCTCATATACATATCCACCATATAGTCAATGACTTCGCTACATTAGCAAACAACATCTCACCACCATCGACTGATAATGCCAACCAGAGAAAATCTGTTAACATATCCAGAACTTTGTAAGCAATAAAAGAGAACGACTCTAACAATCAAATCAGTATCATATCCTCTTTCACCTTAAATTAAAACTTGATTGCAATCAATTCAAAGTAACAATCTTTTGGAAATATGATGAATCTTAAACTTCTGTTCCAACCAAATTTAACATGTTAACCTGTTCCTTCAACTGAAACATTAATACCATGATTATCAGCCCATCAATCAAAGATCCAATAAAATTACCACCAAAGACATTCCAAAAATAAATCACAAAGTGCCAAAAAGGAGAAAAAATGGTAATCTTGATAAGGAAACAGCAGATACACAATCAAGATGTTGTTCTTATTAAAGTGATATGGATCCAAAAATTCGAAAAAAAAAATGGAAAAATCATTTTAAAACCTTATTCCATTGTGATTAGTAATGGCCTAATATGTTCATGTATTGCAGGAGCTGGAAGAGAGAGTTACCAGCGTTATCAAGATACTATCAGAACAATAAGGGACCATCCCAGTTCTAGAAATCAGCCAATGTTTCAGCCGTTTTGCAATTCTATACCGATTGGGTTCTTCGACATTGAAATTGAAACGAATCTTCGCGACGGCGAGACTCCTATGACAATCTTCACCACAGACAGAGACACTTGTGTGCTGTCCAGGCAATTCTGATACGAGTCTAAAAAACGGTTAAATGCAAAAAACCCCATGAACTATTGCACCAGTTACACTTTGCACTCTAAACTATTTTAATAGTCACTTTACACCCTTAGTTAACAAGAAAATAATAAGAAAATTAACTCCATCCAAATAATTGATGAAATAATCAATTTATCCTCCATTAAAAGCTTGTAAGAGACAAAAATACCTTTTCACTTCATAATAAAATTCTTGAAAACATATAACGATAAAATATATGATTGACAACTAAAAAAAGAAGTAGGAAAAAAAGAAAAAATGGAATAAATTCAATTCAAAAATCCCAGCAACCCTATTTTAATACATATGTCAAGTTAGCCCATGTAAAAAAAGATTGTGATTAAGGAACAATAAATAATTTAGGTGATTTATTTTAACTTCTAAGTCCAATATTTTATTTACTAATATGTGGGTTTTAATTTTGGTTCGGTATTCAATCTTTATTGCAATTATTGTGTTAAATTCATATGAAAAAATTTGGATTCTACTCCAATATTATTCTTATGAAGATTTCAAGTGAATTTTTGCTGATTATTTGAAGTTATGGCATTATAATGCATTGAAGAAAATTATGAGATCTTAAAAATTACAGCAATAATCGTTCCTCATTTTAACCCCAATAGTCTAATTATCGTTCAAAGTAACGCACTACTTTTTTTTATGTGTTAACAATTAGACTTTTTGTTATAAAGTGAGTATTAGTCAATTTAAAGTAATAATTTTCCCCATCAAAATGGTATTTTTGCCTCTTAAGTTTTTATTGGAGGATAAATTGGTCATTTCATCAATTACTTAAATAAAATTAATTTTTATATTATTTTTTAGTTGTGCATGGGTGCAGAATGCTCATTAAAATACTCTAGGGTGTAAAGTGCAACTAGTGTAATAGTTCTAAGCATTTTTTGCATCTAACCCCCCTAAATAATGCTACTAGATAACTATCTCATACAATAATTCGTAGACGTTGATTGGACCCACCTTTACAATAGTAGTTTGTAGATGTTGATTGGACTCACATTTGAACGTATTTAAGAATTATTTGAGATACTTTTTTGAGAAATTTTTCGGTCTTTTTTCAGTTTCATATTTATGGTTGTAATCTAATAAATTTTTATTATATCATTTAATAATTAAAACTCTTAAAATTATTTTCGAGTTGATATCTCTTTTTATACATTTAACAGTGAATTGATACGTAATAGTATGTGGTATCCAAAAAATACTATAAAATTTCTCTATTTTTTTCTTATCCCTATTTCATCTCGTGGGATTACGTCTCCCCATTTATATTTCTACGTTTATCTGCCCACGTATTATTTGTCCCTAGTGCCTGCTCCATAAGGGACAAAGATAGGCAGCCGCCCCAACGATTTCAAAGATTCTTCTGTACCCTCTCAAAATATAAGAATTAGAGTTTGTCCCTCCTCTTTAAAGTTTTATTAGAAAAATCTGAAGGCATACTCTAAATTGTACATTTTTTACAATCTTGCCCCCCAAACGAATTAAAATGGGGAATTAAATCTATAGAATATTTTGACATTTTCTCCGTGGTTGAAGCCATCATAAAAACGATAAACATATTTAGGAAAAAGTTAAAGCTATGAACATTTTTAGGACAATGTTAAACATGCTTAAGCAAATGCTGAATTATTTGTCTGTTTGATTTAAATTTCAACAATACGCTTGCATTAATAAGTTGAAATTCTTTGATTAAAAAATTTGCCATTACCCCTCAAAAATTAAGAGGATGCAAATTCCTGGATGACATGGTAGAATATATATACCCCGATGCATGAATGTAGAAATTAAGGATACTCTATCCTTTGATGTAACGGGCAATTGACCTTCTTCACCCAAATGGAGTTGTCAATGGGTAAAGCAACTTCCCCCGAATCCGCCCTTCCACTTTGCTTAGCCTGACACTGACATGTGGCGGCAGCACAATAGTCACGCCATTGGATGCCTCCTTCAATGATGTACTTCGGGTGCCAAATTATTGCGCCTGTCAATCGGGTCATATAAGTCAGACTTTGCGAGTTTAGTTTCAACTCATTTAATTTATAACATTTTTGAGTTTGACTCGTGAGTTAATAAATGTGATGATCATACTCAACTCATAAAATATTCAGGTTTAGCTCAATCTCATTTATTGCTCCTCAATTTTTTTAACATAATTACTATAACTATAGAGTTGTAAAATTAATTTAACATTCACAAGACTACAACATTAAAACTAAATATGAACAAGTAATATGTTTTAAAAAGTACCTAAACCAAGAAATTTTCAACAATATTTATATCCAATTCGTTCAAAATACATGAAAAATAGTAATAAAACATGCAGTTATAAGTCAATATATTTTCAAAGGTTGAAACATCGTCATAATTTTGTGACTTGAATCCAAACATGTTTGATAATTTGTATTTCTAAACCAAAAATAAATCAACCAATATTATGCTAATACAGAAATTTACTTAAGTAATAAGAAAAGTTAAAGTTTCAATTATGTATTACCAATATTGGCTCTCAAGAAAGCTAGTAGAAGAGCCTTCAAATGTATTTTTGTGTTTTGTATATATTTAATATTTAGTAATAATATATTTGGATATATAATTATATATAATATCAAAATATAAATATTATATATATATGTAATTTAAGAGTCGAATCTATATCGGGTTTGAGTCTAATAAGATTCAAACTCGACTTATATTTAATTCGAATCTAATTTTTAGGCTCAATCTCAGACTGATTCATTAAAAAGTCGGGCTCATCAAATTTTTTTGCACCGAACGAGCCGAGTTCGGATTGATCCGGTCTCATTAACAATCCTACAAATCATTATAGTCTAACTCACGTCTTTAGATACCCGCAGGGTGGTGGCGTGACTTTAGCAGCATGTTCCAATTACGCCTCCCGACCAACATACCCTGCTCTCAGTCGACCTACTTCATGCAAACATGCATGAAAATGAACACAACCTATAGACGCCTGCTTAGTTTATTATCTACGTATTATTTTACTGTTGGCTTGTATTTCCAGTTAAGTCGTGTTTGGATTGCAATTTTCTGAAGTTTTTGTAGAAAATGTATTCTCGCGATTTAATATATATGAGATAAAAAAAATGATTGAAAAATGTATTCACTCAATTTAAGCCATGTCAAAGAAGTATAAAATCAATTATTGGTTCAATCTACCAAATCAAATGTATATCTCTCGTTATGGCGATGGAGAAGTGTAACATTATTTGTAATGACTTTCCAAAACTTCTTTCCTAGATGTTAAATTGTGAATAAAATGTTGCTCATTTCCTAGTTGACATCAACTTAACAAAAGTTTTTGATTGCTTATGTATGGAGAGACTTGTTAGTTGTAAGCTAAGTTGCCAATCGAAGCAAAACAAAATCATGGGGGCCATTCCGAGCCATATCTCTTAGGTATCACAAGGCATCAACATGCGAGCCACAAATACATGAACGATGGCAATTAACTTGTCCAGTCCACTATATTAGCCTATCTATTTATCAGACGCCACGTGGCAGAAACCCAGTTTACTGCTTATCTTCAGTTCAGTGTCCATGCCCATGAATCAGTTAGAGGCTGATACACTATCTACTACCACCATCAGCCTAAAGCTCTTGCATAGCTTCCATCCTCATCGAACTTTCTAACTTGAATTCCGCGAAATTAATCGATTATGGAGACTGGGATTGCTTGCTGTGCTCGCGGAGCACTCCTGCCAAATGTTTCTTCTCAGCATTCAACTGGACTAGTATCTCCACGTTCAGTTTCTCCATCATTCAGCTCCAGGGTATGTTTTATTTTGTATTTATATCTTGCACTGATAAAAATTAGCCTGCTGCTGACTTTATTTGAGTGCGGCTATCCAACATTCTTGATTCATTAAATAAAATTGCTTGCAGAGTCTGAAATCAAGCTCATTATTTGGAGAATCCTTGCGCATCATGCCACCAAGATCATCACTCAAGGCTTCCAAGTCAAAAAACTCATCACTTGTGACTAAGTGCGAGATTGGTGATAGCCTAGTAAGTTCATCTGAAGAACAATTGAGATTGAACTGCAGCAAATTAGCTCTCTAAGTAGGCGGTGCGATTTCTGTGAGGGGATAGTTTGGCTTATATTAGCTTAATTGGGAATATTAAATTTTGTAGGAGGAGTTTCTTACAAAAGCTACGCCGGACAAGGGCCTGATTAGGCTGATGATGTGCATGGGAGAAGCTTTGAGAACAATTTCCTTTAAAGTGAGAACAGCTTCTTGTGGAGGAACGGCCTGTGTTAACTCTTTCGGTGATGAGCAGCTTGCAGTTGATTTACTTGCCAACAATGTTCTATTTGAGGTAAAGACGTCAACTTGTGAGCCTTTTTCTTCAGGATTCAGCTTATGGGCCAACTGTTTGGCGCATGTTGAGAATGCACCAGAATTTTGATGCTAATCATTTTATTGTTCGAGAAATTACAAATCTTAAATTAAGAGCGGTATATCTGCAATTGGAATGTAACTCCGGAGGAGAAAGGGGGGCAGGGGCAGGGGAAGCAGTTGGCTCCTCTGGACCTCAAACTCCAATTGTGTGAAACTCATTTATCTAGAAATTTTTGTACCTTCTAGATTTTTTAATTGATCAAAAGGGATTTATGATTCGAAATTTACCCTATTATCCCCAACTTAATTTTTTTTCCCATTTCCCAATGCTCTAGGCCTTGAAGTACTCTCACATTGTCAAATATGGTTGCTCGGAGGAAGTTCCTGAGCTCCAAGACATGGAAGGCCCAGCTGAAGGTAACATATACGATTACTGATCAAGAAATTAGTGATTGTTTTCGCCTTGAAAAAGAAAGCATCATCATGATTATATTTGCTCAAAAAATGTAACCAGGTGGATTCAGCGTCGCTTTTGACCCACTGGATGGTTCCAGCATTGTTGATACAAACTTCACAGTGGGTACAATTTTCGGAGTATGGCCTGGAGATAAGCTGACAGGTGTAACTGGAAGAGATCAAGTTGCTGCAGCCATGGGGATCTTTGGACCTCGAACAACGTATGTTCTTGCTCTTAAAGACCTTCCAGGAACCCATGAATTTCTCCTCCTTGATGAAGGTATGCATGGCCATCACACGTCTGTATAACTGCCTCATTGCCCATATCATTTGCACTCTTTATAGGCAGCTCTCTGATCCCTAACCAAACAAAAGAATAAGAATATCGTTCTGATGTTCTGCCTCTTGATTTGATGGACAGGAAAATGGCAACATGTCAAAGATACAACAGAAATCGGAGAAGGAAAAATGTTCTCCCCTGGAAACTTGAGGGCTACATCTGACAACCCTGACTACGCCAAGGTTTCACTATTCTCTAAGCTTTCCTTAATAGTATATTATATTGATTGACAGTGTAATGAATCATGGGTTTTTAATTCTCAATGTCAGCTAATCGACTACTATGTCAGAGAGAAATACACCTTGCGATACACAGGAGGAATGGTGCCTGATGTCAACCAGGTCTAACTCATAGTTGCTGATCTTCACACGAACAGCTACTCTATTTTATGATAGATTAACAAGTAATTACTGAGTTGAAGTTTCAGATGTTAATATTCATGCTAAAACTTGCAGATAATTGTGAAAGAAAAGGGCATATTCACAAATGTGGCATCCCCATCTACCAAAGCCAAGTTGAGATTGCTATTCGAAGTGGCCCCATTGGGGTTCTTGATCGAGAAAGCTGGTGGATACAGCAGCGATGGAACCAAGTCGGTGCTGGACAAGGTTATCAACAGCCTTGACGACAGAACTCAAGTGGCTTACGGGTCCAAAAATGAGATCATTCGATTTGAGGAAACGCTATATGGTTCCTCCAGGCTCAAGGCTCCAGAGCCAGTTGGAGCTGCTGCTTGAGCAACGCCAAACCCAAATGAGATCGTGTCTTTTCCTTTCTTCCAGGGCAACACCAAGGTGCTTTTGACCTTTATACAAAAGTTTTTTTTTTTTTGGGGTCAAACATATAATAGTTAATTAAGTTCTTGATTATGTAGACGCTTCAGAAAGGTAGGTTTTGTGGGCTTTCTGCAGTCCCGGGAACGTAAAAAAAAAAAAAAAAAGTCTGGGCGTAGCTTCTTCGTTGGCTTAATTTTCTTCCTGAAATTTATATCATCAAACACGAATTGCTCAAAACCAAGGCAGTTCTATATAATTCATCGTGGCAAACTCAGGCATCGTATCAGACCGAATTCTACGAAATTATGATGTGAACCAAATAATAGTCCTGATGATGATTTCGTAAGTCCCCTTTTCACACAGACGTGCAAAAGCTCAATTGGTTTCTATAGATGTCATTGATAAAATCTTTTTTCTTTTTCTTTTTTTCTTGAAATGAATCACACAGAGTCATTTATTATTACTTTTTTTTCCCTTTTAATGAATTATGCAGGGTCATCCATTATATCCTTTTCAACATAGGAGAAACCTAAGAATTTTGTCCAGCTAGTTATCTTGTAATCAGCGGACCTCGTCTTTCCGGGGCATATCCCGAGATTTCCTTTGTTACATAGGATACTTGTTAAAAAAAGCATGATAACAATTTTACAAGCTATAAACAGGTTTTTCACTACAAACTCTGTTCCAACTAGTTATTATTCTGGAGAGTTGCCATTCCACAAATATACTTTCCCTATAAAACACTCCATTAAGGCGGAAGGATTTGCTGATTTTCCTGCAGAAGAACTAGCGTAAACTATATGGAAAACACGGAAAGGGTATGTGTTCACCTTTTGGTTTGCACTTTGGTATTCTTAATGAATTGCTGCGACTATGCATCTTCCGTTCTAACTGCACCACTTTACGTTGCAGAACACTAACCTTATATTGGCTCTTGCCTGATACCAAGAAATTAAAAGAACAAAGAAAATAAAAGAGCTTGATCGAAGTCGACAGATGTTATTCTCCTTTCACATTCGCGTCTCTTGCTCAAAAACTTGTGTTCTATGCAATAAAGTGCGTACATGCATGATATTTGTAGCAATCCCTCTTGGGGCAAGAAAATATAGCGCAATAAATATTTGTCACAGAGATGATACACGTTCTCAAATTAAGGTTTACGGTGTTTGCCATGGAATTTTTCACAGTAGTGATCAGTTCACCACCCAAGTTATGCGGTAAAGCTCTTCAGTAATGAAGTTACTCTAATCCTTCAAAATTACAGAAAAAAGATGACCTGAAAAACAAGAAGAAATGGCGTGGATCAGTCGGAGGGCTAGTTGATGCGCCCATAGATAAAGTGTGGGCAGTCGTGTCTCGAAGTTGCAGGCTGCAGGACTGGATGCCGATGGTTGAAAGATGCACAGATTTGGGTGGCGAGGAAGGCGTTCCAGGCTACGTCAGACTGGTTTCAGGTTTCATGTTTCCCCAAGAAGACGGAGATAGGTCCTGGATTAAAGAAAGGCTGCTGGCTATCAACCCTTCATCCTACAGCTACGTTTATCAGATGGAAGCTAGCAATGTGGGCTTGGATGGGTCTATAAATTCATTAAAACTTGCGGACTATGGGGAGGATTCCACCCTTGTTGACTGGTCCTTCGAGATTGATCCCGTGGAGGGTGCCTCCGAGGATTATACCATAGATTATTTAGCTTTCCTTTATAAATCTTGTATCAAGAGGATTGTTGGTGCCATAGAAACCTCGGATGGAAATAGCAAGTAGATCCCACCGTCAGGTGCACCCCCATTGTATCTCGGACCCCGCACCTAACATTTGTGATGTGTATTACTAATGGCATTGTGAAGCATTTTAGACCATAAAAATGCTGAAAAAAGAAAAACTCATCTAAATCACATAATTTCGTTACATACAAGAATACCAACTAAAGTCGTCCTAACAAATGGATAGGCACGGCACAGTGATGGAGGATATCTCGAGAGGTTTCTTTTATCAGAAGGAATTACACGACTGTGTCAGTCACTAGTCTATTTTGGCAAAATTTACCTTAAACTCGCATAAGAAAACCTCATGGAGGGAATTTTTTACCTCCTGTTTGGCTAGTGAATGTAGTCAGGGAAGAAATGTTGCTCAAACTATTGTAATTGACGAGGTTTTCTGATATAAAAGTCCGTCTCTTTTCAAAAACCAAACCCACAAATATTGGTTTGTTGTTCTCAGTTTTCAGCAATTCGTCGAGAAAACGCAGCAGCCTAGTGATTTCTCGTCATCCTTGAGCGACTGGTAACAATAATGCCTTCACTTACTGGATGACAGAAAAGCGGCTTCAACTAATTCTTCCAGACTAAGAAGCCAGCACGACCCCCGTTCTAAGGAGTGGTTCTTTCGACGGAAAAAGTTGAAAGCACTTGACTTGGAAGATACCCGTCCGGGAGTTTTTTCAGTACTTGGAACAGTGCAAATCCTGAATCTTTTCAGTGTCTGCCATTTGCCTAAAACTCCCTTCCTCTTATAAAGAAAGATAGGCCTAAAACTCCCTTGCTGTTCTTTTTACTTTGCAATGGAAGATTCAACATTGCTTTTAGTATCATATTTATTCTTCCAACTAGAATAATTAGCAAATAGAGTAGTATACTTGTTGATATCAGCGGGTATTATTAAAGATGGACATATTAATAAACCGACAAGGTAACTCACATATCTTTAAAAGGAAAAAAGTATAGGATTATAACTTATTTGGCATTTATAGGTTGGATTCTTTAAATACCATTTTGGTTCCCTAGATTTAAATCCTTTTCCTGTAATTAAATCACCAACATTTATGACGATTTAGCCATGGACTTGTCCCATGTGATTTTGATTGCCCAAATCGGGAATTGGTGGGAGCGATGAGCTATTACTGCTACTAACCCTCATCTAATGGTACATCTAATCCCTTTTTTAAGTCATTGAGGTGGCGTTTCTACCTTGATTTTCCCATCATTGAAAATTATTCATCAACTAACGACTTAAGCCCTTCCAAACACCATGTGGAAAATATCATCATGCATGACCATGTTCCTTGGGTAGGTTTTGGGCACGCTCTTCTGGAAGAATGCTGGTTTTTATTCCAAACATCAACTCCCTACTTAGAGATACGCTGCACTCTTCCAGTTGCGTTACAGGAATGATGATAAGCGAATCTCCTTAATTAATTTCCCTGCTTATTGATGTATCATAGCTCTAATGATGAATGACCCAACAAACTTGGTAATCTTTCTTAATTAACCCAGTCCAATGTTCTATCATCTCCAAATGCACAACCGTAAACTGGTAAATAAAGCTGCTACCACAAAATAAAATGCTGTATTCTGGCAATTCAAGCAAGAAAGCACCCGCTCATCTTACAGATTAATCTCTTCTAGAAACTAGTTTCATGGTCCAAGGCTAATTGAATGGCCAATTGATTCATCATGTATGTTGGCATGGCCATATATAAGAAAAAACTCAATAGTCAAGAGAGGGATGCAGAGCAGAAGTACGTTTCAAGCAGCCCGGATACTTAACATCAGTTGCAGTCAGTGTAGAAGGTTAGAATGGCGAAGAAGTATATTTTCATCCACACTTGTGGACAGTCGACACATAACTACTTTATGTATTTTGCAAGGAAACTCTTGAAAATGCATGGCTGGTTTCCTATGCTCACCTAACCAGGTAAAACGACATAGCATCAACAGGACAATCCCTTCCTCTTATAAATTTATAATGCTGCGGATATATATATATATCAATGATTCGTAGTTGTATCAAAGAAAGCAGCACTTGGAATTGCCAAACAAAAAACACACACACACACAAACACACGCTCAGAGGATGGCATCTTGGCTTCAGGCAGTGGTGGTGTTGTCAGCTCTAGTACTCTTTCCCGTATCGGTGGAGTCAGTGACTCGCCACTACAAGTTCAATGTGAGCTCTTTCGGTTTCTTTTGAAGGTTCTAAATACCTGCGATTACCATGCATATCATTAAAAGATGTAGGCAGACATTATGTACTGGTTAACTAATACTATGTAGGAAATGCAGGAAATTCTAAACTTGTTAACTAATAGTTTTGGCACATTTGATCTAAGCTATCTCAGACATGGTCTACTTGATAAAAAGAGACAAAACGTTTGACATTGGAGCTTTCTGCCATTAGTTTACGGTTGACTATACACACGCACAAGGGAAAGATAACATTAGAGCCTTTTCTAGACCGTGGACTGGGATTAATATATACATCTGAGGCATTGGGGGTGTTGCCATTCAGAAAGTCATGTTAGGGAAATAATTCCCATGCATTAAATATTTCTTTTCCCCTTTCTGAGCTATGATCACATTGGCGTTTCTACTTGTTTGTTTCCTCAAAAATCGCACTTGTTCTTGGCGTAGTTCACAACACTTGTCTACTCACTTTAACCCTTCAACCTTTCTTCAATCACACTTTCCGGTGTGGTGACGGAGAGAGGGTTACCACTAAAGAAGCAAAACTGACTCCATACAGAGGCTTGATTGTTGATAGCATCATGGAATTCTTTCACACTTATTGAGCAATACCGTTTTCGATGCAGGTGGTGCAGAGGAAAAAAACAAGACTTTGTGCAACTAAGTCCATTGTCACTGTCAATGGGAAGTTTCCAGGTCCCACTGTCTACGCAAGGGAGGATGACAGACTTGTTGTGAAGGTCGTCAATCATGTTCAAGAAAACGTAACAATTCACTGGTATGATTTGAATTTCCCATCTGAATTCTCAAGTTATTTCATACATTTCGGGACTTTTTTTATATGCAAGAGAAGAACAAACACTAAATAATTAGAACATTGTTTGATCTATTACTAAGTTCATAATTTCATATTGCAAATTTGCAGGCATGGAGTCAGACAACTTAGGACAGGCTGGTCAGATGGACCTGCATACATCACCCAATGCCCTATACAGTCGGGGCAGAGCTATACCTACAACTTCACCCTCACAGGGCAACGAGGTACACTTCTTTGGCATGGACATGTTAACTGGCTAAGGGCAACAGTTCATGGTGCCATTGTCATCCTCCCCAAAAGGGGTGTTCCTTATCCATTTCCCAAACCTGACAAGGAGGAAATCATAGTATTAGGTGAGCCAAAAAATATTGTTTGATTTGATATTGCAACTGTACTTGAAAACTGAGTTCAAAGTCTGATCTTCAAGATCCAAAAATGCAGGGGAATGGTGGAAGTCAGATGTAGAAGCTGTGATCAACCAGTCTTTGCAGGTAGGCAGGGCACCTAATGTATCAGATGCGCACACTATTAATGGCCTTCCTGGACCTGCTCCAAATTGCTCTTCGAATGGTACTTGATTGGAGAATCTTTAAAATTCCACGACGCATAAAAAATAAGAAATTTGCCCGGCAAGAAAGTGCTTTGAAAGTTCAAGCAATTTACACCCCTCTGGCTAAATTAATCTTATACTGAAATCATAAATTTACCACAAACAATAATAGCATAGAGATTTACTAGCGATAAGGTTGAATACTGAATATAAAGGGAAATGTTTATCCATTCCACTCTGCATCTCGTTCTCTAACTTGATATTGATAAATTTGCAGGTTACACCTTACATGTTGAAAGCGGAAAGACTTATTTGCTCCGGATAGTTAATGCAGGACTAAATGAAGAACTCTTTTTCAAGATTGCAGGGCACCAACTGACCATTGTGGAAGTTGATGCTAGTTATGTCAAGCCCTTTAAGACAGATACCATATTCATCGGTCCAGGTCAAACTACAAATGCAATCTTAACAGCAGATCAGGATGCTGGAAAATATCTGATAGCCATATCTCCCTTCATGGACACCACTGTAGCCACTGACAACCAAACTGCAACGGGTGTAATTCGCTACAAAAGCACTACTGCTTTTTCCCCCACTGCTCTCACCACCATTCCTCCAAGAAATGCAACTCCAGTAACTAACAGTTTTATGGAATCTCTTCGATCCCTTAATTCAAAAGAGTATCCTACCAAAGTCCCCTTGGAAATCGATCATTCATTACTGTTCACTATTGGAATTGGTATCAACCCTTGTGCTACATGCCAAAATGGAAGCCGGGTTGTGGCAGCTATCAATAACGTAACCTTTGTTTTGCCAACGACGGCTCTACTTCAAGCACATTACTATGGAATAAGCGGAGTTTATACAGAAGATTTTCCAGGAAACCCTCCTACACCATACAATTACACTGGTACTCCGCCAACAAATATACAGACAACAAATGGCACCAAAGTTTACAAATTGGCCTTTAATTCTACCGTTCAGGTAGTAATCCAAGGCAACAGTATTGTCGCACCAGAAAGCCATCCAACTCACCTCCATGGCTTTAATTTTTTTGTGGTTGGAAAGGGATTAGGCAATTTTAATCCGAATACTGATCCAAAAAAATTTAATCTAGTTGATCCTGTTGAGAGGAACACCATCAGTGTACCAACTGGTGGATGGACCGTAATCAGATTCAGGGCGGATAATCCAGGTAAAATCTCAAAGCTCATTTGTATTCCTACTTTCCGACTTTTACCATGATTCTGTGATGTTAGAAATTTTTATGCTTAAGATTGAATAACCGTCGAGTTAAATGTATGGTAAGGACTAAGTAAGGGGTGCATTTCATGAAGATGAGAGTGCACCACAAGGCCTTTCAAATTTCTCAGTAGTTCCTGAAAGCAAATATAGATTTGAAGTGGCACGGAGCCTTTTCAGATATAGATTCTAACTCAAGCAAGATCCTTAGAAAGCAATCAGTGTTTCGGAGCTTTTTTTTTTAATATATATATATATATATATGATGGGAAGAATATTTTGAATCGACTTTCTCCTGATTTGTGCTACAAATTTGGTTTCTGCAGGTATTTGGTTTATGCACTGTCATCTAGAAGTACACACGACATGGGGGCTTAAGATGGCATTTCTGGTGGAGAATGGTAATGGCCCTAATGAATCCATCTTACCACCTCCAACTGACCTCCCAAAATGCTAATCAACCGGAACCGCCTGGCTCAAGGACGCCATTGGAGGGGCTGTTGATCTGCTATTATTTTCTCAGAGAGTACGAGAGGAGTACATATTGGTCCAAGATGCACATAAAGACGTCTAAATTATGGACTCAGGGAATAATAAATGGCTAGAAATTTGATTTTTTTTTTTTTAATTTTTTTAAAAGTAGCGAGTTCAATCAATCAAGAAACACCTAATAATTATATTTAGTTCTGTCCTGCACTTGTTGTTTTGCCCGTGAAGTGTGTATGTAAAATTGATGCATTTTGTGGAAGGTTTGATAAAATTTATTCTATAAAACCCATTGAAAATCACGTCCAAAGCAGTAGGGTGATGCGCATTTCTTCTTCTTATTGAGCAATTTTTTGTCATAATAAATAATTAAGTACTTAGTACTTATCTCTCCAGCGTAATTCCCCTGTGAAAGATAAAATCGCTGCGCGTAGGCATTTGTTCGGCTAATCAGTCCAAAATAGTGGATGCGCACTCAGATGAAACTTTCGAGCTTCATAAAGATCTGATCACACCAATTGCTGCCTTTTGAGAAATGATTTTGTGTGCCAAAAGCCCAATTGACTAATGAAATTTTGCCGACGAAGGACTCTTGGTCCAGTGGCCATACAATAGAACAGGAGAAGAGAAAATGACTGGTTTGAAAACAAATTTCTTAGTTAGTAAAAGCATTCATCAAGCAATCACGTTGTACTTTCTAGGGGAAAAAAGGGGTTACTTCCCCTTTTGCACCCTTTTACTACGTCTCAATTCTCATTAAACAATAACCATAAAAAATTTCAAAATTAGAGGGAAGAAAGGATCCAAATTGAAAATATGGTACAATTTAGGAATAAAATTTTGTCCTTAATTGAAGCTTAAGGACCAAAATAAAAGCAGATATAGTTTAGGATTTAAAGTGTTCCAATTTAGAGTTTTAGAACTTAAGTGAGGATTAAAGTATAGTTGAATTCTGGAGGGCACAAAATGGAATTAACCAAAAAGAGGGGTGGGGGGGGGGGTTTATCGACTTGGTGCTTAATTGCCATTTTTTGTTAAAAAAAATTTACATTTTTTATGAAATATATTTTTTAATCACCTTTTTTATCTCACAATCTTCTTGCATTTTTTTACGAAAGTAAGAATTCGACAAACAAACCTACACCCCGAGAAAATATCTCACAATCTCATACACATCAAATTATTTTAATATATTTTTCTACAAAAATATCAAATATGGCAATTCAAACGGTCTCCTAAAGTAGTCAAAAGTCCAATTATGAAATGAAAATTTGCCTACAGAGTAGGACTGGCCCAGTGGCCAATGGGCAGAAAGAGGGGCTCTACTCTTAAGATGTTGAAAATAAAAAGGGCAAAAGGTGGTTCAAAAGATCCAATACCAGCGCGCCAGGTAGGGGTCGAACCTACGACTTTCTGCTTAGGAAACAGACGCTCTATCCACTGAGCTACAGGCGCAGATGTACTGACCTGTCACTGGCTGACTAACATATCTAAATCATATACATAAAATAATCTACATATCTCATGGTCGCATTTGAAATGATTTTGATAAATACAACCAAAACACAAACATTTATGCCAATAAGCTCCCATTGTGGATCTGAATTATTTGATCTTTCGTGTACTAAGAAGACATATAAATTGGAGCGAGTGGAGCAACGGCTATAATTTGCTAGTAAAATAAAAAGAATTATAAATATGATACTGTTCGAGTTCGACTCCACTCGAATACATTTTCATACAAAATATATTCAATAGCTCCCATTTTTAATTATATATATATATATATATATATATGTATATGTATATATACTTTGTCCAAAATAAACAAACGCGGGTTAGTGTTTGGAATAAAAATTCTAAATCTTACAAAAGAACATAATAAAAGAGATTTGAAAAGCCTAAGAAGGAAATTCATAATTATTTGGTGTCGGATGCCCACCACGAGGTGAAATGGGTGGTGGGTAGCACAAAAAACTTGTGCCATTGCCGCTAGTTCTGAATCATGATCCATATCCATTTCCATCTGAGAGCCGCCGGGCCAACCTAAGCTGAGCATGTAGACCAGACCAGATCGCTACTACTAAGTAATAACTGCCAAGTAGCAGAGCAGTCCCAGCACTATATAAACGACACCAGACTGCAACAGTTTTGATCAACCGCGACTATCATGGATTGTCTTGTCTTTCGTATTCAGACCTGAAGAGTTTGAGATTGATAGCTTTCAATTTCAACCAACGTTCGTACATAGTTTTGATGTCACCTTTCCTCTTTCTCATTCTGCTTTCTTTTGCTTTCATTCACGATCATCACCACCCCTATCTACGCCTCTCTACCACTGCTCCCACCGCCTACTACTAGGTACCATCGCTGTTTTGATTCCCTTCCCTCTTTACTGTACCTGTTTTCCTTTAGTTCTTTCTCTCTTCTTTGACCCTGTTACGAATTTTCCCGCTCCATCCTCACTCGATTTTTCAGAATTATTCTCATTTCTCTTCTGGGTTTGGTTTTTCTTGCAGATTGAGCAGAGTATCAAGGGACACTTTCACCGCTGTTTATTCTTCTAGTTTTTCCCCCTTGGTACTTGTACTCTGGTTAAGAAACGGAAAAAGCAAGGGTTTTCATTTTTCAAGGGATTGCTTATTTGTGGATTGTGTTTAGTGGCTGAGTGACTTGACATTGGAATTGTTGAGGGTTCTAAGAGGTAAGATCAGTTGGCCAACTTGTACTTTTTCCAAGATTCCATTGATTCTGTAAAGGTGGGGGGAATTCTTTTGCTAGATTCTTCGTTTTGTGCTGTTTATTGAAAAGGGCTTATTCTGATTCTCGATAAGTGATTCTGAAATAGTGCCTTTTGGTTCACTGAAAAAATTCCAACTTTTATCTGTCTTCTTGGAATATATATCTTCAAAAATATGCTTGTGGTTAATTGAAGAAGGCTTTCAGATATTGCTAGCTATGGAAACCTTGTATCCAGCTTCCTACATAGTGAATTCAGACTTGTTGCTGAAAGAGCTTAAGAGCACAAAATGGACTAAAGAGGAGAACAAAAGATTTGAAAGTGCTCTGGCAATGATTGATGAGAAATCTCCAGATAGATGGTATAGGGTGGCAGCTATGATCCCTGGAAAGTCGGTGTGCGATGTGATTAATCAGTACCAGGAATTGGTGGCAGATGTTAATGATATAGAAGCTGGTTTGGTTCCAGTTCCTGGGTACTTGGCCTCTTCTTTCACTCTGGAATTGATGGATAATCGAGGCGGCTTTGCCACGTTTAGGAAAAGAGGAAGATCTATTGATCAAGAAAGAAAGAAAGGGATACCCTGGACAGAAGAGGAGCATAGGTGAATCTTCGAAACTCTGTTTTTTTCCTTTACTTTTTCTTATTGGAAGCAATTTCTATGGTCATCTCTGTTGCATAAATACCGTAATTCGCTGCTTGACAAACGAAAGAATGGTTAAAGCGTCAGTTTGGACCAACACTGTAGCCACAAAATAGGAGAAAACTTTTAGTTACGAGCACTTGATCTTATCATCTATTAGTATGAACTTTGTTGGTGATGTATGTGGCTTTGCTTTCACTTTTTATGTAGTAACAAGCGTGGAAATTTTATAAACGATGCTGTTTTTTAACTAGCAGTGTGACTCTACAAAACTAGAAAACTGATCAAGGTGCAAGTTCAAGCCACATAGGAGCTCAGAACTAAGATCAGCAAATATTACTAGATGAATTTTTCTTAAGGGCTGATGCTTCTAAAAAAATTTTTTTTTTTTTCAAATCTTTACTCTTCTTAGTAGGAGAACCCAATAGTTTTCCGTGTTGAGCTTCAAGAACTTATTTTTTGGGCTAGATCTGTTGACATTCTTCTTTGTGGCAACCAAAATAGGAGGTTTCTAATGGGGCTTCAAGCTCATGGTAAGGGGGACTGGAGGAACATATCCAGGAATTTTGTGATATCCAAGACTCCAACCCAAGTTGCCAGCCATGCTCAGAAATACTTTCTAAGGCAGCTTTCAGGAGGGAAAGACAAGAAGAGACCAAGCATCCATGACATAACAACAGTTCAACTTCCAAATAAGACTCCATCTGAGGATAACAAATCGCCTTCTCCAGACAAGTCCGGGCTTTCACCTGTGCAGAAATCCACCAATGCATCCAAAATGTTGTTTGACTGGAACAACTCAAATGATGGAGTGTTGATGGTTTTTGACTCGTTGGACCCTAATGAGTCCATAGGATCTCTATTTGATATTGCTACACAAGGTCGTTATGCTGCTGGTATCCGTTCTGCCAATTCGAAGTTCCACATCCAACCAACGAAGTATGTACTTGGGTGAAGGACAAAATGCCACTCCGGTCAATGAAATCAAGTGCAAAACTTGAATTCATTCTCGTATTAAGGACTATGCCTTCTTCATGTATTCTTGTAAATCCATGACATCTAGAAAAGGGCATTATCCTGCTAGGTATCTTTCATACTTGTGACTGTAGGTGAAGAGTCTGTAAGTTCCACTTCTTGAAAATTCGAGTGGATCAATCATTTTGCATAATTGTCCTTTCATTTTCCAAGCTAGTGTATAATCATGAAGTAGACGACGGCCGGCCATCTCTCAGGCACAGCACCAATGTCCAACAAAAGAAAGACCTGTACATCACATTGCAGCTAAGGATGCAGCTAACAGTTCAATTTCCATTTCATCATATAATCATTTCATTTATCACAGTGGTTCCTCTAATTCCTTCGGGACTAGACCAGTAGCATCCTTATGATTTCATTAGATTAATGCGCATCTTATCATTGATGATGTAAGCACGTGATATTATTGCCTACAAATACAGGAAAAAGAAGCTGATAGCTTTTTTTAGGCTCTTTTTTTTTTTTTTTTTTGTGGCTCTGCTAAGTTAATCGGGAAAGCTGGCATTTCCTCTCAGGAAAGGTTCATGATAATTTATGAAATTTCCATTGTGGTTTTACTTGTGGAACAGTTGCATCGCGACCATTATGTTCAATCACAACCCCCATAACCATAAGCCTATATTTGTGATTTGCCCTGTCAGATGGAGTCTGTAGGCGAATTAGATGACTCAGGCAGCACTCTGGAATTCCACAGCGTCTGATTGGCGATTGCTCGTTTTAATTTCACCTTGGCCGCTTTCCGCCATGCTCAAGACTGTTCACTTTGGCCAAGTTGACTCAGCTCCATCACCATCACTTTTTGTCGAGCTGACTCTGCATCCCACTACTTAAAAAACGCATCTTC